CTTGCATGCCAGGAACTGTCCTCATTATCTTCTGGTTAAAGTCTGAGCCTGGAGAAGTGTCACTTTGCAAGTTTCTAAGAAGTAGAAAGCTGTACTTTCCATGTTTTTACATCTATATTTGCCCCCAAATTTATTTTATCCCTCTGTATTTTTTTTTGTTGTTGTTAATTCTCTGTATTTTTAACTCTTGGCCTTTCTAAATGGGGTATGTGGAATGGTTAAGAACAATTAGCTAAAGGAACCACAAATGACTGATAGTAGACCAGCAACATAGGTAGTAGTAGTTGGCTTTTTAGTTCTTTGATTTTATTATTCTAGAAAAAAAAATCACTAGCAAAATGTATTTTCTCTCTCTGTTTCTCTTTTCTTTTTACCGCTTGCCCTACCACCTTTTGTACAGGAACCCAAAAACTCCAAGTGATAAAAAGCCACCTACTACTACCTATGTTGCTCGTCTACTATCAGTCATTTGTGGTCACGAGGCTTATTTAGGACTTACATTAGAAAGTCACTTTGCACATGAGAGTGTTTCCTTCTCATTGTGAGCTGTTGTGAGATTTTCAGGGCTGAGGCTGAGCAGTGGCTCAAGCCTGAAGATTAGGTCATTGTGAGGGGATCCTCAGACCCCCTGAGTTACCAGGTGGGTGTAATTCATATCACTAACCTGACATCTGCTGACTCAGATTTGGAGTTTGCTGGCCAGAACGTCGTTGGAACACACTGAATCTCTGCTTCTGGTGGATAAACAAATGCTTGGACTGTCTGTCCACATTGACAGTCTAGAGACACAGTTTGCTGATGGGTCCCTTCCATGACCACCACTAAATCTACCTAAGCCATAGACAATTATCTTTACTAGGAAATTATCATTGATGCTAGACAGTGAACGAATCTCTACATTTTACTTGAATTGCATTATATTTTTCTGACTAATGTGCTCTTACTATCCAGGGTCTAGAACAGAATCTTGTGTTTGTCATATATCCTTATGTCTCCTCTTGTGTACGACAACTTCTCATTCTTGCTTTATTTTTTATTACCTTGACATGTAAAAAAATGAGCAGGTATTTTGTAGAATGCTCTTAATATTTGACTGATATTTTGTCATGTTTAGATTGAGTTTATACACTTTTGGCAGGAATGTCCCAGAGTAATGTGTACTAGGGTATATGCTATCAGAAGTAATTAATAATTAGTAACAGTACCAGTAACTTTGAGCAAGTAATTAGTAACAGTATTAATATCAGATAGTCAAGATTCTATCTGCCTACTTTTTTTTACTGTAAGGTCAGTATTTTTGTCTTTGTAACTAGTGAATGCTTTGTGTGGGGATGCTTTGAGAATAGGTAAATATCTTGTTTTGTTTTCTGTATTTTAGGGAAGAGTCTACAGCATGTTCCGGGTCTCACTGCTAGATCAGATTTGTAGTGATTCTCTTGTTTACAGCTTCCCAAGTGCTGTGATTACAGGAGTGCTCCACCACACCCATTCTCAATTGCTGTCTCAGTGCACCACAGTGGCGGGGCCGGCAAGGCAGGCCCAGGGATTGAACCCCTGGCCTGTGCACCTGCTTGCAGGCACTTTAATCCACTGAGCTATTTGGCCAGCCCAATATCTTATTTTTAATCATACTTTCATCTACTAATTTTAGCATCCATTGGTGTGTTCCAACTTGCACTCATTATTCATTATTTGTCTTATAGTAATTTTTTTTATTTCCATCAGTGCTTCTTTATTTATTAATTGCAATTTCATTATAATGGAGAGCTGACCCTTCCTCTCCTTTATTTATTCAATCCTCTTTTTTCTTTCTTTCTTTTTTTTTTTTTTTTTTTTTTTTTTTTTTTTTTTTTTGGCAGAACCGAGGATTGAACTCAGGCCCTTATGCTTGCCAAGCAGGCACTTATTCTACTGAGCTATCTCCCTGGCCCATTATTCAATCATCTTTATATCAAAATGGAGTTTTACTTAAACTATTGAATGATAATGTATTATTACCAATACTCATTTCTTTGCTCAAATTGTCCAGATTTGACCATTGAGAGCATTTTTTAAGTTAATACCTGAGCCATTTTGACATACTCCCTCATCAAATGACCAGTTTATTTTCTGGTCCTACTATTGCATATTTGTAGCTTATTTTACACTTTTTGTCCCAACCCTGAAAACAATTATTTTTCCAAAGAACCCTGATTTATTATTACAGGGTAATGATATTTAGGAACCCAGGTTTTTCTGTGTTCATTGTTATATGAGAGTGTTGGTATCTCTTTCAGTAGATGGAATTAGAAAAACATACATGTGTTTACTCCTGCATGTACATACTTCCCTGGAAATCTTGGTATGTATTAAAATTGACAAGTAAATACTAATACCTCAAGCATTGGGGATATTTATTGAGAAAGTTCTAATTATTATTTAAAAAGACATTCTTTGGCTTGAAAATAATCTAGCTTTATGACCTTCCTCATCATTAGCATTTTAATCTTCACACTCATTATAAATACATTCTTAAGGACCTCACTCCATGTTCAAGTTGATGTCTTTTTGATCTAAGCTTCACCTTTATCTAATATTATAGGAAATGAATTTCATAATGACTTCACAGGGCTATGTAGTGCCTCCTGATGGGTAGCCATGTTTCTCTAAGTCTCAGATGGAACAAGAATGTCCTGCATCACAGTTGTAATTTATAGCCTCTCCAAAGTGATCCAGACTTTAGTGACAAAGGTCTTTCCCTGTTTAGATCATAAGTATGCTTCATGTGCTCCTGGGATGCAAACCCAAGTTATTTCTTATTCCTCCCAGAAGAACATAAACATATGTTTAAAATATTTTAATGCCTTAGAACTCAGACTACGAAAGTTTGAGCCTCCTAACTATCAAATTCTTAGTGACTTAAATCTTTGAGCTGGGATGTATGGAAGGGATCCGTGCCTACAAAAGCTGTACCCACTAGACATTGGCACTTGGTGTGTGGGAGGAAGGGAACTACTTCAAGGACATCCTGTAACCCACAGTGTAGCTTATTTTTACTTGGAACATATCCATGTCTTAAAGATCTGTTTCTTTGGGCAAAGTTCAAGAAGCATTATGACTCTGCTCCTAAAGACATATATTAGTGGTCATTTCTTAGACTGCCTGCCTCAGCAAGACAGACCATACCATTGACCATCACACTAACCTCAAGAAATTGAAAAGGATCAATATCTTATAAAGTAGATAACAATGAAATCAAACTAGAAATCAATAGTAGAAAGATATCTAGAGCATTCCAAGCTATCTGGAAATTAATTTTTTTTCCTTTATTGCCACAAATGATGGACTCTGATACTGAAAACAGCAATAAAATAATGAGTTTAAAATAAAATCAGCTACCTTAGGTCACTAGCAAGTCAATAGAAGCAGACAGATTTTGACAGCAAATACAGAAGAGTGAAATAGGGGTATAATATGAGTATATGTTCCCAATTTTGAGAAACTTGGCTAGGTGCTGTGGAAAGGTAACTACCATCTAGGGTCTGGTGTCAGAAAAGGGTTTTTGAAGAGTGGAGAAGGCATAAAGACCAAAGTCATAGTGTGTAGTTAGTTATGTCATGGTAGCTACATACTGTGCATGCTAGGTAATAGTTTAAAAAGAGAAGAAGAAGCTTAAGAGAGTTTTAGGGATTTGAATTTTATAACTCAAAAGTTGATTGATGGGAGCTGAGGCTGAGCAGTTTAATATTGGGAGATCTAAATGAAAATTTCTAGCAATGAGGTAGAAAAAGGAAAGGAAAATTTTAAGTCATGGAATTGAGAATATGGACAAGTGAAGATAATGCAGATTTCTAGATAGATATGAGGAGTGGTAATAGTGAAGGATTAGTTCCTAATATAAGAGATATTGTTTCCTTGACAGTTAAAACAAAATAAAAACTACTTTTTTACTAAGCTTTTCTTGAAGAATATCTGTATCTTAGAGAGTAGAGTTCATTACCAGTCACTCCCTAACAACTTATCAATACACTTTACAGAATACACTTTGATATCACATTGGTTTGTAAATTTTTGCCACTTTTAGCTCCTAATTATTTATTCTGTGCCTATGTCACATGGATCTATTATACTGTCTTCTCCTTCTAACACAGGCAAAGCCCTGCAGCCATACAGTGAGTGCAGTAGTTGAATGAACGATTGTGATGGGGGGTATTGAATGAAGATGGGAACTATTCATCAGTTCACATGATTAAAACTCAGCAGCAGAACTCAAACCTGACTCATAGTTAGGAATCTGGCTTTCATATTCAGTAATGCAGACTTTTACCAGAATTCTGATTAAAAAAATAAATCTTTGAAATGTCACCAAAATAAAATCCTTGACAGAAATAATACAACTAGGTATATCATTAAAATATATTCTTAACAGAATAAGAGCCTAAAATCAGAATCCTGGTTGCAAACATACTAGCTTTATGGTGGCAGTAAATTTTTGGAACTTGTCACACTTTATATTTGCCATTAGTCTTTCTCTATTGACGCTAAGAAAATGGAGATTGGGCTGATGCTGTATGTTGAGCAATGTAGTTTTATATAAACTTCTAGAGTAAAAGAGCTTTTAAGTGAGGACGGCTTTAGGATGATGGGAACATCTTAAGTATTAAATTTTGCCATGAAATTTCTTCTATCATCTTATGAAGACTTATGAGCATGGATAAAGATTTGTTGAAACATCTTTGGTTCTTGTCTATTTCTTTATCAGGTGACAATTTTATGTTACTATATAGGGTCCTGTCTACAGCCGGTTAGGGAGTTGTGTCTGAACTTATTTTTTCATCCTATGGCAAGAGATGCTACAGAACTGTATGGGATCCTAGCTCCTTGCCACCGTGTTGTAGAAATTATAATTTTAATAAATTACTGTAAACAACCAGCAGATTTTCTGCTCTTTGCCCCTCTGCCCATCTGCTGGTGTTTTTTGCCTCTGATAGTTGTTTCTCCCCCATCCTTTCTGTCCACAGACATGCCTTGAATTGGAGCGCTACCTACAGACAGAGCCCCGGCGAATCTCGGAGACCTTTGGTGAGGACTTGGACTGTTTCCTCCATGCCTCTCCTCCCCCGTGCATCGAGGAAAGCTTCCGGCGCTTAGACCCCCTGCTGCTCCCAGTAGAAGCCACCATCTGTGAGAAGAGCTCTGCAGTGGACATTCTGCTCTCTCGGGACAAGTTGCTCTCTGAGACCTGCCTCAGCCTCCAGCCAACCAGCTCTTCTCTGGACAGCTACACAGCCGTCAACCAGGCCCAGCTCAACGCAGTGACCTCATTAACACCCCCGTCATCCCCTGAGCTCAGCCGCCATCTGGTCAAAACCTCACAGACTCTGTCAGCCGTGGATGGCACAGTGACGTTGAAACTGGTGGCCAAGAAGGCTGCGCTCAGCTCCGTAAAGGTGGGAGGGGTGGCGGCGGCAGCAGCAGCCGTAGCACCAGCTGGGGCAGTTAAGAGTGGACAAAGCGACAGTGAACAAGGAGGGCTAGGGGCGGAAGCATGCCCCGAAAACAAGAAGAGGGTGCACCGCTGTCAGTTTAACGGGTGCCGGAAAGTTTATACAAAAAGCTCCCACTTAAAGGCCCACCAGAGGACTCACACAGGTAGTGGTACAAGTTGGCCGCACGTGGCTGCTTCCCTTTCCTGCTTTTGCCTCGTGGTGGGAAGGGCTGGCTGTGTTCTGAGAAGTGGCCTTTGTGCCAAGGAGGCAGGGTACAGAAGCATGGGGCCCTGGTAGGGCATTGGAATGACTCCCTCCTCACCCCAGGACTCTCAGCGTGTCCCAAGCACAGGACACGGGTTTGTCGCTGGCTGGCTGAGAGCTGTTTGAGGAGGTGATGCCAAGCACGATGGCTTGGGGCTGACAGCAGGGAGCTCGGTAGCGTGACTCACAGACTGGCACTCATGCAACTGTCTTAGGAGGGTAGCCCTGCAGGTTTGGTCAACGCTGGAATCGGGGGAGGTACATTTAACAGCATTCACAATTAAACAAGTAGTGAGGCTGTCCCTATTCACTCTTTTGCGGGCATCCCTGAGTTTTCATCAAAGTCACCAGCAGCAGGAGGGTTTCAGAGTTCATTAGATGTGATCATTCTATAATTAATTGGCATCTCCTCTTTTGCATTGTTCTCTGGCGCGTGCTTTATGGAGAGATGGCAGAATTGCTTTTTAATGAGCTTGTTACCGAGAAGTTGCTGAAGTGATTACATTGCTATGTGTGTGGTAAGGATGGGTGGTGGAGGGATGGCACTATATATTGTACTCAGGGCTTTAGCAGTAATTCCAAAGAGTCATATTGATCTTTTGAGCCACGGGATCATTTGGAAGAAAGAAGAGAATTATACAGAATAGAGGAAGACTGGCTTTTCCGTAAGGCTGGTCTTTGTTTTCTTTTTCAAGTTTGGTGCTTGAGGGTGGTATCTGTTCTTAGGTCTACTAGCATGCCACTAGGAGCAGTTACTGAGAGGTGGTTTTTAAGTGGGTCTCTAACAGTATGCGACTTGTGTGTATTTGCATACTGCCTGCACACTTCAAGCTGAAGAAGAAAATTCCCCAGTTGTGAGTGGCAGATGAGAGTGTTCCCAGAAAGAAGTGGGTGGTGGCACATGGGGGGCTCGGTCTGGTACTCTGGGGGTCAGTGGGCTGGGCCACCAAGGAGCAAGGCACTGTAAGCTGGAAAATCAGAGCCATCTGGATTCTGGTCTATACTGCCACTCACTAGCTCTGTGACCTTGCATTAGTCATTTTATTTCTTTGTTTCTCATTTTCTACGTTAGTCAATTTGGCTCTTAAGGTTCCTTTTCCCTCTCATGCCTTGGTGATCACGACATAGCTTTGTGCAGTGCCGAAGAACTTTTCTAAAGTAGGAAGGCATAATATATGACTTGAACAAATCATTATTTTGAAGATCAAAGTTATTCCTATGGGATGCTAAAACTTATGCCGCTTGCTTACAAGAAGAATTTAGGCTTATAGTCTTGTAACTATGAGCTTAGTTTCCCTTTGCCTCTAGTCTACTAACAGTTTTGGAGTCCTGTGTCTCACATGTAGGGTTCTGTTCATGGATTCCCATCAGAATTTGGGTTCCATCTCCCCAGTCCACATACACTGAGACCAAGACTTCACATGTTTGCCAGTTTCTTTTTGTCCCTCTGACACTCTGTTTTTTTTTTTTTTTTTTGCAGAACCAGGTATTGAACTCAGACCCTTGTGCTTGCCAGGGAAGTGCTTATTCTCCTAAACTATCTCCCTGGCCCCTCTGACTTTATTCTAAAAGTGATATTTATCCACATTTCTTTCTAAAGTCAATGAGCAAGTTAATAACAAGATATCACAGTGCTCCCAGGCTTTGATATGCAACTCAGCCTAGTGTCAACCCCCAGGAAACCAGAAAAAGGACGAGGCAAAAATGTTGAGGTGTGTTGGCACTGAGGAATTCATGGTTGTGGACACTTTCTGAATCACAGTAAGAAAGACTACATCCTGCTTTGTGTGGAAGCTAGACAGCACTGGGAGCAGCAGAGGATTTTTAGGGAGGGCAGAAAACATTCTTCTGTTTTCTGTCCTGCTTTCCCTGTAGAGATCTCAAAAAGGTAACTGTTGTGACTAATGCCTTAAGTAATGCATTGCTTTTTGATTACCGGATGCACCAAGTGAATACTCAAGCACAGCCTTGATGTTTCCCTGCACCCACAGCTACCTGCCTTAGGCAGATTGCTAGGAGAGACTCCGTCTCCTTGGGAATTTACTAAAAGAAAAGCCGAGCATTGTTAGAAAGGCAGCACTTCAGGGTAATTAAGAGCAAGGCTTTGCACTCCCACAGCTGGGGTTTGGCCCTACCACTTCGTAGATTTATGACCTGTTGAAATTATTTGTCTTCTCTGAGTCTCAGTTTCCTCAGCTGTAAAATAGGCACAATTGCCTTTACCTCATAGATTGCTTAGAAGATTACTTGACATATAGAGCTCATTAAAAATAGCTGTAAGATTGTTTTTGACACTAGTTATTACTCGTTACCACTGATTGGTGATCATTGAGTGAAAAACTGATTTATGTAAACTAGTCATGAGCCAGTGGGCCAGAATTAAATACGGATTGTGTATCTCTGATCTGAAAGATCCAAGTTTTAACTATTTCGAAATCCAAAACTTTGGAGAGCCCATGTGACACCACAAGTAGAAATTTCCTGGTCAGACCTCATAGGACAAGTCACAGACACAGTGGAGCCACACTAAAAATCTTAGATAAAATTTCCTTCAGTCTGTGAAGATAAGGTGAAAATGAAACATAAATGGATTTTATATTCAGATTTGGGTCCTATCCCAAACATATCTGATTCTATGTGTGTAAGTATTCCAAAATCAGAAAAAAAAAAAAAAATCCAAAATCTGCAATACTTCTGCTCCCAGTCATTTCAGATGAACCTGCATCACAAAAATTTTCTTTCCCCATTTTTAATGGTTCCTCCTTGGCCTGGGGTGGTGGTGTTCATAGACCTGGCCTGTAAGCAGCAGCCCACCAGCATGGAGAACGTGCCTTTCCAAAGGCAATGCAGGAAGCATTTTGCTTGTAAAACCTTCCTTCCCCATTGGCAACCCTGAAGGAAAGCTAGGTGCTGTAGGAAAGAGAAACTGAAGGGAGGGGCGGTGAGGATGGAAATGGGGGATGGGAGAGAGAATATGATTTAATTTGGATTAAATAGATGAGAATTGTAAGTATTTATTTGGAATGGGTGTGAATGGGGCACATGGGGAACTGAAAACAAAGGTGATAATTTATGTGGTGTGGATGAACTCAGAATAATGGAAAAAGCATGAAGAATGAAGTCAAATTAAGCGCAAACATATAAAGAAAATGGATTGGTAAAAGCTCGAGGGTAAAGGTACATGATGATAGGAATTGGATGCAAAAGAGACTGCTGGTATGAGGAGCAGAGTAGTAAGAGCTGCTGACCAACTTTTGAAATGAAGTTTTCAAAAGTAGGTTCTAAATGGACTGAGGCAAACTATTTTAGCACAAGACTCACTTCATTCAGTGGAAATATTTCTCATCTTTCATTTGGAGAGGTATTTTGGGATGGAAAAAAATATCATCCCAGAGAGTGGGGAGCTCTGGCATTTTGCTCTGCAGTTATATATGTGCCATATCCCTTTTATATGGTAATGCGTTGCAAAGGAGACACAGTTGCGAAAAATAAAATAAAATGAAATGTGCGAGTCTCCACCTTCTCTGCATACAGAAAGACAGTGCATGAATTGGGTCATGGATTTGCTTGCATTGAGGAATTTTTAAAAGTTGTTATTCATTTAATTTTTATATGGATAGAATTTACTGAGCTGGAAAAGATAGGCATTTTTTTTTTTTTTTCCTTCTTCCGTGGGTGTTTTGTGAGGATGCTGAATCCTCCAAACTTTTTACCCTGGAGGATATTAAACAACAAAGTGATCTTTTCCTTATGGTAGCAGATGTTCAGTTTGGTAGCTGGGCACAAGAACTAGTTGCCCAAGGAGATAAAGTTGGGGGGAACCAGGTGGAAGAAGAGGAGGCAGGGAATGAAACAAAGGGTTATAATGAAGTATCAGGATCTTATTGAAAGACAACAGAAATGGGCATGTGGTTTATTCATGGGGAAGAGCACTTAGGGTTGGTACGAGCATAAGAATGTCCGTTAGCAGCCACCACACCTTCGTACACCTTCACCAGCCACTGTAATACATTCTTCTTTCTCAATAATTCAGCCACTGCGATCATACTTCTATTTTCTTGGAATCAGCTAAGTAGCTCTTAGATTGTCATACAAGGAGAGCCTTCATTTCCACTAGTAAAACAAAACAAACCCTCTTTCTTAGGCTCATTTTCAGCCAAACATAACTTGTTAAAATGTTGAGCAGTTTCTACACAAAAAGCAAAAGCACTCTATCCTTATTTCTTCCTGATTTTTTCTTAGAGAAAGAAAAGCCTGAAATTGAAATGGTCCTTTCTGTTAAGTGAGCAGACTTACTGAATTTAAAAGTTCATATAAAGGGTATCCACGCTTACATTGTGAAGGGTAGGCTATGTTGGGAAAAGGAGGAGACAGGCTGGCAGTGAGATCTTGGGTTCTTGGTCACCGTGAAGGAGCCTTGTTTGCCTAGGTGCCACTGGAGGGCTTTTTCCCTAGCCTGAAGTCCAGTGATAGTTTTTGCAGGAAGAGCATGAAGAGGATACCGTTTGGATGGGATGGCCGCACAAGGGTGCAGTCTGCGGCATTTCGCATCTGCTGGGGGCAGGTCTCTGTGAACTCAGAAGTGGTAGAATCGAAGTTTAGTGAGGCTTTGTAGTTTTCAGATGAAAATATGACTAAAAACATTTCACATAAAAGGGCAAGTGTGGTGTTTCGGAGGCAAACAAAAGTGCCCGAATCAGATATATAATGAAAGTTCTTTAAAATTTGAAATGTATTTTTTGTTTATTTTGCTCATTTCCCAGATGCTTGATAAAACACTAGCTGGGTGCCAGGCACATTTTGTGTTAATATTATATTAACCCTTTTAAAGTTCAAATTAAGTGACATACGTACTCTCTTATTTTGTTTTATAGATGAGGAACGTGAGATGACTCAGACAGG